AATGTGCTGAAATGGGTGATATGAAAATGAAATGTGCAGAAAAATGGTAACTTGCAGTTGTGAAAATATGTATTCGGATTGTAAATTTGCAAATTGGAGTTGTGCAGGAAAATGGCAATTTAATGTTATGAAAACCGGTATTTTTGTTGTAAACCTGTAAATTCCTGTTGTTAACGCATACTGTCTATTATTATAGAAAGTTGATTGAAATTGATAGTTGAATGATATGCAGCAACTGATTATAAATGGCTACTGGTGGCGGGAAACAACTATTTTGCATCTTCGATATGAGAGGGGAATTTGTGAAGACCTTAGAAGGAAAATTAGTATATGAAAGGAGTATTATAAGTATAAGATTGATCAAAAAAGGATAATGTATGAAGAACTACAAAGCATGGTAGCAAATGATGTTTGGCTAAGCAGTGGTCAATATAAAATGAAGTATACAGTTAGTTTGAACAGGAAAACATTTTTGGACCTTATCGATGATATTGAAGTAGGACAATTAATTAAGTACAACGATAATAGTTGGCATGTTTATGTTTGCAACAATGAGAAAGACTTGAGACAAGCATCACAGTTGGACAGTGCACGAGAGTAAGTGGACATATTTGGTGGTGGGTTGTAATCTTTTTCGTATAATGAATTGATAGTTGAAATATTTCTTGACTGTACGTGACAACAAGCTATCCCAAATTCTGTGCTAAAATTGGCTGGTAAAATTATAAATGTATGAAAGATTTTGTCCATTTGTGAATGAATGTATTTCTGTTGTTAATTAATGTATTGTTTTTGCAAATTCTCTAATTCCTGTTGTAATGCATGTATCATTTTAGCACATTCCCTAACTCCTGTTGCCAATTACGTAAGTCCATTTACGAATACACGAGTTCCTGTTCTAAATTTCGCAACGCTTTTTGCAAATTGTCTAAACCTAATCGTGAACACACTTGACAAACTCTAGCGTGATGGTTCAGTTATATTTTAAAAAACCACTTGCAAAAACAGGAGCCCCTGTTGTAAACTTAGCTATTATTGTTGCAAATTCCTTAATTCCAGTAGTTAACATTTACACTCAAAGTATGAAATTTGTGGGGGGAAATACATTATCATTAGTAGACATGTAATAAACACATAATATATAGTTCATTGCATTGAAAATGAAATTTTGGGTAATCCTTACGCATAAAAATTGACACATCCTTTGCTAACATAAAAGACATCTTGAGTTGACAGATCCCTCTTCAATTTTCTCTTGGTTGTGTCTGTATTTTTGCAAGTAGTTGTACAACAGCTGCCAACCGTGTATTTCTTGCATGAGTAATGAGTCATCACAGCAAGTTTGACCTTAGGGAACTGAGTTCTTTCTATTGTATAACATTAAGAACCATCAAATAAGGGACACAGTGGAGTACAAGATTGAAATCTAAAAATAATGCATTCATAGATAAGCACTTAATCAATTCATACTTCTGCAAAATAGTTGTTTCCCGCCACTAGTAACCATTTATAATCCGTTATTGCACATCATTCAACTATCAATTTCAATCAACTTTCAATAATAATAGACAGTATGCGTTAACAACAGGAATTTGTGGGTTTACAATAGAAATACCGGTTTTCATAACATTAAATTGCCATTTTCCTGCACAACTCCAATTTGCAAATTTACAATCCGAATACATATTTTCACAACTACAAGTTACTATTTTTATGCACATTTCATTTTCATATCACCCATTTCAGCACATTCACCCATTTTTCTTTCAGTTCTCCCTTCCTAAGTTCCTTTAACAACGTATTACAGTCAGTGTTCACTTATTTTCACCCACTTTTCAAAAATCACTAACACCTTATGTTTATTAACTTCAAAGAAGAAGAAGATAATAATCTCTCTCTAAACTTAAAAGCTATATTAGATTTTTTCTCACTTACTACTTACTTACCCATACATTTAAACACTCATTTCTACATTATTCAACTATCACAACCCAGCTATGCTCAATAGAACGAAAATTTTGGGAAAAATGATTTACCCCACTCACCAAGCTCTTCTTTTTCCCTCTTTCTTCTTCTTTTTCAACAGATGCAGTTCGTATGGCATTTCAGTAAAATGGCTTCAGCAATTAATTTTAGTTTGTCCCCTGGGTTATTCAGTGAAGTTTCAGAATCCTTAACTGAAATTTCAGATTTTTTTTGGAGCTATTTGAAATTAATTCCCATCAGCGGTCCTCAATCGAAATTTTCCCTAAATTATATAATAAAACTATAAAATCCAGGCTGTCCATTTTATGTACCATTTGTTTTTATTCTCAGCCTGTTTTTCTTGAACTTATTTCTTTGGTGCACATTTAATAGCTATTCTTAGCAGTGGCTTTGTGTTTTTTAATCCCCAATAGCAGGTCTCACTTATAATTGCATCAAGATGTTACCTTCTTTTTTTAACCCAAAAAAAGTTTGTTAAATTTGTTTGTCAACTTTTCTACCGTTAGATCCATTAGTCCCTGCACTTAAACGATTGTTAACGCCGTTAAAATTTTTGCTTGGACGTCTGAACATCTCCACTGTTGTGCTTTGAACCGAGACAAGTGGTGTTCTGTTGTCTTCAAATTCAAAGCCTCAATCTCACACCAACTTTTGTTAAACTCTCATATATAGATACTCCACTTTTTCTTGCCTCTTTGACCAACCCACTGCGTTTTCCACCTCCTTTCCTTCTCTCTCCATTTTCTTCTTCAACAATTCACAAAAATGAATCTTCTTACTCCTAACCATATTGATTATGATTTGGTCTTTGCTTAGTCTGTCAATATCCATTGTCATCCTCGCCATAATCCTATTCCTTGCTTGCAAAAAGAAACTGCAGCAGAATCCAAAGAAGCACTCCCTGTAAAAATCTGTGCTTGTTCATACCTAGCAACATCGACGCCAAAACAGAGGCTTCAACCACCGGAGAATCGTCGACAAGGTCTGACTCGAAATTGTGTACGCAAGATTACTCAGACAAAGACAAGCTCGTAGCAGTCAAAAGGATTCACCCTTGACTTGTTCTGAGCAACGCAGAACTTTGTGTTCTTTTCTATGATAAAACAGCTTTCATTAGCACAACACCCCAACATAGTTCCCATCATGGGTTTCTCAGAAGAAGCCGACGAGAGAATCACAGTGAGTGAATTGGGTAAGCCTGTAACTGTATCTGCATCAAACACAAGTGGGCTTCGCTTTTGGATAAGATGAAGAGGTTGAAAATCGCGACAGGAGCACAAGGAGGGTTTGAGTATTTGCATGAAGTGGTTGCACAAAGCATAGTTCATGGTTATGTCAAGTCATCCAACATCCTCATCGGTGTAAACTTCTGTGCCAGAATTTCAGACTAAGGACTCAACTTTTTGGCACCGAAAGAGGAGAGAGAGATAGTGGGGTAGTGTGAACGGAAGAGAGTGGAGGTGATATCAACTGGACAAGAGATAGCTGGAGGAAACGGATCAGGCTAAATGGCGAAGGAGATGTCTCAGACGTCCTAACAGAGATTTTAACAGCATTAATAGTCATTTAACAATTAACAGTAAGGATTAACTAATCTAACAGTAAAAAAAATTAAAGGATTTAATAAAAAATATATATAAGGACCTAATTCAAAATAGATAAAAACTATAAGGGCTTCCAAATTAAGTTTTCTTATTATTTAAGTTGAAATAAATTATTAATTTAAGACAGATTTTTAATTGTCTTTTTTATTTATACGTGAGAATTTCTTGCAGTAAGAACAAGAGGGAGTATGAGATTCAAAGAGATGATCAGCATCAATTACGCGCCATCATGAAGATAATTTAATTTAATCATGGTCTTCAACGTAATTTTTTTTTAACGAGCACGATGATACTTTGGATTTTTTTGTTGTTGACCGGGATGATACAGTAGATGTCTACATCACGTGACAGGAATAAAGATGAGAAAAGCAAAGAGCACTATCACTTTTGTGAGGGCAATTATTAGAGTATTGTTACTACTTCTTACTTTGGACTTTAAATACTCATGTGGTTATTAATATAGAATGTAATTAGAAAATTAATATTAGTCTTATATATAACATTTATTTTATAAATTTATATATTTTTTAAATTAATCTTATTGATATTTTTTTAGTAATAATCAAGTAGAAGAGGAAGGGAAAATTAATTTAAAAAGATGTTTATTGTGTTTTAGAAAATATATATCATATTAACTAATTTAATTAATATTTTTAATCTATTTAAATCAATTAATTAGATCTTACGTGATCGGGGATATTAAAAATGTGAACTTGATTAGTACATGAACCTTAATTTTCTACGATTAATTTTTATATGCATTGAAGCTATGTTACAAGCTTGAACTTGATTAGTACATGAATCTTAATTTTCTAAGAGAAGCAAACCCAGGTATTTTAAAAATATTTTTTTTTGAATAGGATGGTATCGCTGCCTCAGGGTATCCCAGCATAACTGGCCAGACTAATCTCAGATGCACTCGCAGGTATCGAGTCCATGACATGGTAGGGAAAGCGCCTTGCGTTCCCGTTTGCGACGAGTCGGACCCGACTCTTACAGGCTATTTTAAAAATATTTTTATTTGTTATCACGAGGCTTTGGTTCGCCTTGCCCTTCTGTCTCAAAAGAAACGTAATTCATTTCCCCTTATCTTCTCCATCGGCTCCTTTTCCAAACTCGCTAGGCTTCTAAAGAAAAAGGCGAAAAGCCTACTCGGCTGGCGGGGTGGCTACTTTCACCAAGCCTTCATCACACCTTCATTTGCTGAGAAAATTCTTGCGAGGTGAGATTTAGAAGCAGCAAAAGCTTCTTATATCTCTTTCTTCTTCTTCTTCTGATCATTGTGGCTTGTGACAGAAAATGGACCGTACGGATCGACCAGCATCTTCACCTCGGTGGCCGGCGACGGGATCCTCTCCGACGAGTGAAGACCATATGACGTCTCGCCCCGAGGGGGCGCTTCAATCATTAGCAATTAATGACGAGATGAGCTTGGAGGAGTTTCTGGTAAAAGCTGGGGTAGCAAGGAACGAGAGGCCGCACGGATCATCAGCGAAAAACCAGAGGGCGCCTCAATCATCAGCAAAAACTGATAACGAGATGAGCTTGGAGGAGTTTCTAGTTGAAGACGGGTTAGCGAGTAACAAGAAGGCAAATTCATTAGGAAGTAACGAGAGGGCAAATTCATTAGGAAGCATGGGCTTGGAGGAGTTTCTGGTTAGAGCTGGGTTAGTGCTTTTATTTTTCGCCAAGTAAATAAATATTAATTTTTTTTAAAAAATATTTTTTAATGAAAATTTATTCCAAGATTTAAATTTAGAGGTTTATTGTTGCTAAAAACATGTAACGATTATGAATTTGTACTGCTTAAATGATAAATAATGATGTTGGCAAAAATGATATAAATATTATTCCACTTGTAGATTCACATTATTTTAGTATAAATATTTGTTCGACATATAAATTTACTCCTAGACTTGGATGTTTATTTTCCTCACTTTGCTGACCGGTGCCATTTTGAGTTAAGTGAATAAATAACAGCTGTTACATTTGTGTTTCAGAGTTAGTTAGGTTATGTGTCCTTCGTCAACAAATATTTCAATGTTCAATATCATTTAATACCCTAAATTCATTAGGGAAAAAAATACCCTAAATTATTTTTTTTTCAGTAGTTCGTAGACTAATTTTTGCTCCATCTATCGTCTAAGGTATTTTTCCAATAGTATTAGTATTTTAAAATAATTTTTATGCATCTAACAGTCTAAAATATTTATTTATTAGTACCCAATATTATGTATTAATATTATGCAATATATATTAATATTATGGAAAAAATTTTAAAAATATATCCAGGGCAGGTTGAGCCACAATGCTCCGAGTCTTGCCCACATCCCTGTTTTCTGTTTTTTGTCCTGTTCGGCAAATGTGAACATCCCTCATTTAACATTTTAAATTTAAGGTGTTAGTTGCTAATAAAAAATATTTAAATAAAATTATACTACCTTCAGTTTTTAATATAAGACACTATTTGACTTTTATTTTGGTCGTAAATATAAGATCCCAATTCACTTTGTCTCTCATATTTACTTAACTTTTTTCAAAATAATCCTTTTAATAATTATAGTTCTAGTTAATACACTTGATTAGCAAAGATATTTTAAGAAAGACAACACCTATTTAGAATAAATAACTAACTCAATTTACTTCCTTAATCTCTTTAAATTAGTCAACTGCTCTTATAATGAGAATCGGATGTAGTATTAAAATTATTTTAAAATATTAGATTGTGTTAGAAAAATATTTTAAAATATCTAACTAATATTTCTTTTGAATTATTACTCAGTGTTGTCCGTGATAGGGCTCGGTACGATGTGTTCTTGAGTTTCAGAGGGAAAGATACTCGGTCATCTTTCATTTCTCATCTCTACTCCTTTTTTAGCAATGCTGGAATTGTTGTTTTCAAAGATGATGCAAACCTTCCTAGGGGTAATAGTATCTCAGTCGAATTGCCGCTTGGAATTGAATGTTCTACAATTTCGATCATTATCTTCTCCAAAGATTATGCTGGTTCTAGATGGTGCCTCAACGAGCTCTCAAAAATCATGGAGCTTCACAGAGCACAGGGTCGGGTAGCTCTGCCTGTGTTCTATGGCGTAGATCCGACCCAAGTTCGTAATCAAAGCTCCAGTTTTGGAGATGCATTTCGTGAGCTTATACAAAGAAGTTCACCCACAGAAGATGAAGTGTCGAGGTGGAGGACAGATCTCCGTGAAGCTGGGGGCATTGCAGGGTTTGTTGTGCTCAACTCCAAGTAATTTTCAAATATTTCATTTTTTTTCTTTCTTTTCAATTTTGCTGAGCCTAAACAAACATACACAGTAGATTCTTGCTGCAACGTGCACCAAGTAGTCACTTGTAATTTTTTGCAAGTAATATTGCATATATGCATGCATACATACATACATATACATACATACAATTTGCTGGGGTGGAATTCTCACAAGCGACTGAAAGTTTTGAAGTCAAATATTGAGTGTATTATTAGTTAGCCAAAAATTTGTTTTACATTTTTTTCCCCCAAGTATGGCGATTTAACAAGCACAAGTGATGTTATGTTTTCTTTTAAATTATTGCTTTGAAGTTGGTCAAATTGACATGTCTTTTATTCTTATGACGCTTTTAATTAATTGTTAAGGTATTGCAAATGCCTTCACCGGTAAAAGCAAGAGATAAAATGTATTTTTAGTTCAGGACAAATTACTCCATTCAATTTGTTCCCTATAAAATTTAAGGTGCGTTTGGTAATTGGTCCATGGAAAAGTTAGTTTAAAAAAGGGAGAAGGTGAGAGAAAGTATTTTGACCATATTTGGCAGACTGAAAGTGGCTTTGTTGAAAATAACTCTTAGTGTGTTCAAGGGAGGGAGTTTTCTCTTATGATTTCCTTTTTTTTGTTTTTTTGGTGGCCCCTCTTCCTTTGAGTTCAATTGTTTGTTTAAGTGTTTCGAAAGTTCTTTTCCATGTAGGCCTGATTCAATGTTCTGTTGTGTAAATTTTCAACTTTATCTAAACGCGTGGTCTTTGAAATATATTTGTCTTTAATCATCTCAAAGCTGTTAAGTTTTTAAATTATATGGTAAACTTTCATTCGATATTGTCTTTTTAGTTTTGCTACTTAAGGTTTGATAATGGCACTTCTAGTTCCAAGGGTATTGCGGTGTCATAGTTTCCAATATGGTTTCTATGTAGATTATTCATAATGCATGTTCTAACTCTGATGCATGTTTCCTTTAATAGCTTGACAAATTTTTTTCTACTCATGCATATGTTATTGGTGCTCATGTTATATTATATTTGATTGTAATTCAGGGATGAAAGTGAGGATATCAAGAATATCGTTAAGCATGTTTGTAAAATATTGGACAAGAAAGACTTGTTTATTGCTAACCATCCTGTTGGAGTGGACTCTCGTTTGAAAGATTTGATTAAAATATCAGAAAGCTATTCAATTAATGATGTTCTCCTGCTAGGGATATGGGGGATGGGGGGCATCGGTAAAACAACCATTGCCAAAGCCATTTATAATGAAATTGGTCGAAAATTTGAGAGCAGAAGTTTTTTGTCAAACATTAGGGAAGTTTGGGAGCAAGATTCTGGTCCAGTTAACTTACAGCAACAGCTTCTTTCAGAAATCTGTAGAACAACAATGATGGTGATACCTAGCATTGATTCAGGAAAAATCATATTAAAGGAATATCTTTGCCATAAGAGAGCACTTGTTGTACTTGATGATGTGAATGAAGTTGCACAACTAAATGCTTTATTTGGAAGTCGTGAATGCTTTGGTCCGGGAAGCAGAATAATTATCACTACTAGAGATAAGCATATGCTCAAACTCCTTAGAGTGGATCATGTATATGAAATAAAGAACATGGACAAAATAGAATCTATTGAGCTTTTTAGTTGGCATGCATTTAAGCAACCAAGTCCTAAAAAGGGATTCATTGACTTTTCTAGAAATATAGTTGCTTATTCTGGAGGACTACCACTAGCCCTTGAAATCCTCGGCTCCTATTTATTTGATAGGAAAGAGGAAGAGTGGAGAAGTGTACTAGAGAAACTAAAAAGAATCCCCGAAAATGAGATACAAAAGAAGCTAAAAATAAGCTTTGATGGTTTAAGCGATGATACGGTGAAAGAAATCTTCCTTGATATATCTTGCTTCTTTATTGGGATGGATAGGAGTGATGTCACGCAGATATTGGATGGTAGTGGACTTTTTCCGCACATTGGAATAAGTGTCCTTGTGGAGCGAAGCCTAGTAACTGTTGATGAGAAGAACAAGCTTGGCATGCATGATTTGCTGCGAGATATGGGGAGAGAGATCATCCGAGAACAATCACCAAAGGAGCTTGGAAAGCGTACTAGGTTATGGTTCCATGAAGATGCATTTGATGTATTATCAAAACATACTGTAAGGACTTTCCTATCTTATATTCATCATTCTTTCGAAAAAGTAAAATGGCATGGAAAGCCAATTGAACATGAATGAATTGAGCATGTAGGTATATTTATAGTTAATTTCACTCCTGGGGCAGAAATTATGTATTTTTAAAACTCATTGTTTGTCACTTGCTCTAGAAACTTGCTTGTGACAGGTTTACGTTTTGCCCTTCAGTAAAGGAATAACAGAGGTACGCACTTCAAATTTTATATGCTTTTTATTTGCAGGGTACAGAATTTGTCGAGGGGCTAGCTTTGAGTTTGTCACAAACTGATAGAGATTATTTTTCTACCAAGGCGTTTAAGCAGATGAAGACACTTAGATTACTCCGCCTTGGTAATGTGGAACTTGATGGAGACTTTAAATACATGAGCAGAGATCTCAGATGGCTTTATTGGCTTGGCTTTCCTTTGAAATACATCCCTGCCAACTTTTATCAGAAAAATTTAGTTTCTATTGAGTTGAAGTACAGTAGCCTTAAACAAGTTTGGAGGGAGCCCCAGGTATGTATACTTTTTTGGCATCAGGAAGAAAGTATTAGTCATTAGATTTTATTTCACTGCATAACTTCTAGATGGGTCTTTATTTAAGACTTTTCTTATAATAGCTTTGGATGAAGCTACTTTCATCACTAATCTTGAATATAGCTGCTGAATTTTTCTTCAATTTACTTTCTTATTTAAATTCGTTGCTATAGATAGAAGCCTTCCCACCATCATAACTACTTATTTTTTCGCTGTCAGGACTTTATATCTAGCTAATTAAAGCTATCATTCCAAGTGTAGTGTTTTGGAGATCATTCTTTTTTCTGAGATGGAAAATTTTACAAAGCGGTTAATCAAAGTTTATAGAAGTTGATCAAACTCGTTACTGGCATGTCAAAATCATGTTACTGTATACCTAATTGTATTATAAACCCATAAAATAAAGAAGTAGCACTCAATGTTTTACTTACCGTTTTCTGATTGGTTCATTCTTTTACAAGATGTAAAACGCTATTTTTATGAGACCTGCCAAACATTAAGTGCATGCACACTTATTTTTACTCTAATGCTAGGCTTTAGAATTAGCCTTTAATAGTGATACCAAAATTGATGGTTGTTGATTTACTTTATTTATGGGTTTATTCACTAATTTTCCCTTGAATTTTCTTTTCTTGCAGTTATTGGAGAGGCTAAAAATCCTTAATTTGAGTCACTCCCTTTTTTTGGTGCAGACTCCTGACTTCTCAAAACTACCGAATCTTGAAAAGTTGATTCTTAAAAATTGTCCAAATTTGTCCAAGGTTCATCCTACCATCAGTCATGCCAATAAACTCATTTTAATAAATTTGAAGGATTGTACTAGCCTTCGCACTCTCCCAAGAAGTATTTATAATTTAAAATCACTGAAAACTCTTATTCTGTCTGGTTGTGCGAGGATTGAAAAATTAGAAGAAGATATAGAGCAAATGGATTCCTTGACAACTCTGATTGCTGACAACACTGCAATAACAGAAGTGCCTTTATCTTTAGTGAGGCTAAAAAGTGTTGGATATATATCTCTTTGTGGCTACAGGGGATTATCACGTGATGTGTTTCCTTCTCTCATTTGGTCACGGATGTCCCCAGTAAATAATCCTTTATCTCTTATTCCATCATATGTGGTCATGCCAATTTCCTTGGATATATTGAATAGCAATGTCCCTAGTCCTTCATCTGTCTATAATAACCTCGCAAAGCTACGAAGCCTTTTGTTGGGAATCATATCAGAGAATGACCCTGAAGTAATTCGAGGTGCTGCAAAAATTTGGGAATCCTTTCATGCCAGAATTTGCATGGACATGGCAACAATACCAAATACTTCAAAAATCTTTGAGATTGAATCTTCTGTGTTAACTGGTCATCATAGTCAGGTTCACATCTCAAGATCAGAAAATTTTTTGAGGCATCTTCTAATTCAAATTGGAAAGAATGACCAAGTCACTGCTACTCTTCTGGAGAATATCTCACAGGTTCTCTTTTTCATTCGTCTTTTTTCTTTCTTTATTTTTTGGTTTAAAAGAATATTCATTCCTATTATATGCAATTCTTTAATAACATTGGAAATGACCTTTCTGCTTGCCTTGCTATATAGTTGAACTAAGTTGCTACTTGTGTTATCAACCAGGGATTGACTCCCAGGAATTATAGTGATGCATATGTCCTTCCTGGCGACAATTACCCCTATTGGCAATGTTTTAAGGGTGAAAGAGCTTCTGTGAAGTTTAAAGTGCCTCGGATTAGCGGTCATGATTTGAAAGGGATGATTATTTGCTGTGCATATTTCCCTTCAAGTGATTTGAGTAAGAAGGCATGTGAATCTTGTGTTAGTGTAATGATCATAAATTATACAAAGACAACCACTCTGTGCTACAGGCAAGATTCACTGACTTCATTTGAAGAAGCTGAGTGGAAGAAAATAATATCAAATCTAGACTCAGATGACCAAGTGGAGGTGATGGTAGTTTTTGGTAATGGATTCACTGTGAAAAGGACAACAATCTACTTAAAATACGACGAGTCATTTGATGAACAGATAGAGCATCCACCATTACCAAGTATTATTAGCTTCTTGAAACTATCTTATTTCGCACAATTTTTAAGAGTTAAATTCGATTACAGTTTTTGTTTCAAGCGGGGAAAAGAGTTAATAGATTATTGTTAATTTTAGTTACCTTGTTCTTTAGAAAGATTTCAAGGTTAACAGTTTTGCTTCTCTGTTTTCGTAGGTAGAGAAGTTGAGAAGAAGAACATGCAGACTTATGTTAGAAGGAGGAAGCGACAAAAGATTAATTAGTAATTCTTTAGTAGTTCTTTTCTTTTTAATTCCTTATTTTGCCATTGCATAATTTGTATTATTGTTTAAGAGATTTTAAGAGTCAAATAAATATCTATATTGTCGTTAGGATCCCCACATTTTCAAAAACAGTTTTTCATTTTCAAAAACAAAAAAACAAAAATATTTGTTTGATAATTTGTTTTTAGTTGATTGTTTTAAAAAAACAGCAATATGTTTTTTTTGGTAAAAACAGCAATATGTTTTTAAAAAATAAGACCCAAGACAATTTTTAGATTCTTTTGGTATTTATATTGTTTTATTTTTTGTTTTAAAAAATTAAAGAAATCTTTTTCTTTTTTTACTGACCGCTCGCCACATATCATCACTGGTGATGGTCACCACTTGTCAAATATGATTTTTTAAATTTTTTTTATTTCAAGTGTGATATTTTTAAAATAACTATGTAAACATATTTTTTTTATTCTCAATACTTGTTTTAAAAAACAATTTTATAAAATTGTTTTGGGAATAAAAAAACAAAAAACATGAACAACCTTTTAGAAACCTTTGCTTTGGGAAGGAGAAGCAGCAAAGCTCCAGATAAGGGTGGAAATAGGTCAGGTTTTGCTCTTAACAAATTAGGCTTATTTTGTAGCTTATAAGCCTGAACCTGGCCTGTGACCTGTTATAGGCTTATTTTTCAGTTTGAGTCTGGTCTGTATAAAGGCCTGGTCTGGCCTGAAGCTTGTGAAAAGGTTTGTATTTTAAAAAAAAATCAAATTACATAATGATATTTTAAAAAAAGTTAAGATTAAAAAAACGTACATAATAATTAATTTTTTAGTCTTGTCTTTTATTTAAATTTTAGTGTCATAAGTATTATTTTATATCTTAATTACAATTTACAAAAATATTATTAAAAACTAGTTATAATTATATGTTAAAATTATGAATAAGAGTACGTTGAAGTACAAAATGAAAATTAAAATCAAGGCAAATAAATAAAGAGAAAAAACTATTAAGTTTACAATAAATAAAGAGGGAATCATAATTTAATTAATATAACACATAGGTTAATTAATTTATTATTCTTGGAACAAAATTTTTCTTTTCTTTTCTATTTATATTTTTAAAATTTAAAGATCACATTATTTATTGATATTATTGTTTTAAATTGTATTTTTATCTTTACTTATTAACTAAACTTCAAAATCCAAGGAAGTATTAAGTCATTAACTATGTATTAAAATTTAAAAATAAATTAAAAGAGCATATTAACAATAGTATTATTAACTAATTTTTTCATATATTATAATTATAAATTTATAACAAGCTTAGGTTGATCTAACAAACTTTATAGGCTTTTCAAGAGCCTAAACCTAACTTGTTAAGTTAAACACACCTTCAAACAAATCTGAGCCTGCTTCTTTCGCCAAACAGGTCAAGCCAAATGCAAGCCAAGTTATAGTCTCTGGCAAGTCGCTTGGCTTATTTCTACTTCTAGCTCGAGAATCCAGTAAAGTGGTGTCATAGCGCATAGACAATAAATGATTGAATGCTTATTTTATCTTTTTTATTTATCATTAATTTTTTTATCTTTTTCTGTTTATAATGTTTCTTAGGTTATCTTAAAAAAAAAATCCATACTGTATTAGTATTTGATTTTGATAAATGTACTACTTTTTAATTATTTTTATTTTTTTAATCAAAATTCAGTTACATAACTCATCAGATTTGGATTACAAATCTAATTGAATTTATTTCTTGCAATATATATGGGGGGCTCACTACACACACATATATATTTGAAAGATGGGTTCTAGTGTTGAAATATTCTCAATATCCAGATCATCATGCAAATCCCAAGACTAAGGTCTTTTCACACTTTATTGTGTTGAAATTCAGGGATTTTGATTCATGAAAATTAAGTTATTACTTGTTAAAAAATGAAAAATTAATATATATATATATATTATAAAGATGGCCATGACACTTATTTGTGCTGAGTTAACCAAATATTAATAGTTCTTAACTGGTCATTGGCCATTTAAACTGCGCTAATTAAAATGCTTTTTATGATTAACTTGTTTAGCTTTATTAAAAAAATTCACACAAAAAAAAATTCAAGTGAAATTGCTTAGAAACGTTCAGAAAAGCTAGTTTTGAAAGGTTGAAAGGAAATATTTAATTAAGGGTGTACTTGCTAGTTTTATTTCCACCTCATAAATCTGTGATACGAGCATCAACTATTCAGTATGACCATTTTTGTCATTAAAATAGTTTCATATTTTTTCTAAAGTAGCCTATAGTTTTAACTTTTAACTGAGTTAGAATTTGCCATAAAAAGAAAATAAATATAATAGAAACAATGACAATGATGTGGGAGCTAAGTTAAAAAAAAAAAGGTGAAAGTTATAAAATTTGAAATAAAAAGAAAAAAGTAAAATATGATAACAATATATATAAATTATATTAGAGATTGAGTTTAATTGATTCAGAATTAAGGCTAAAATAAAATACTATAAAATAAAAAGTTAATTTAGAGAATTTGAGCTTACAATAAGAGGATTCAAAATATCAATATGCATATTACTTGTACCACTGTAATAAAAACACCAAAACAAAAAACTCATTTTAATTTTTTAATCCTTTTTTGAAAAAAAAAAATTCAACCAAATAAGAGAGACGAAAATGTAAGACCAAGCGGGGCAAGTTCAGGCTAGAGCCTAGAGGATAGTGGAAGAAGAATGGCGCGAAACTAATTCATTTTCGTACCGGAAAATTTGAAACCACGCCAGTCATAGATGCTCTGCAGAATTTCAGTTTCAAATCTCTGGAATAGTGCGTTCTGTTTCGCTGCTCTCTGCTATTAGGGTTAAGATTTCTGAACTGCACACAGAGCGAGAACAAGCATGCATTCGAGCGAGTTCGACGGCGCCGCAGCCTTCTCCGGTGGTGGCTTTATGCCGTCTCAGGCAACTCAAGGCCATGAACCTTCCTTCTCCTATTCCAAGGTCCATATCTTTCGCATACCTCTCTCTCTCTCTCTCTCTCTCTCTCTCTCTCTCGCTTGCTCTCTCATTTTATGTTCTAGCAAGTGCGATTACTGCTTTGGTTTGCTAATAACTGAACTGCGATAGTTGATTCACTCTATTCTTTTTATTTTTATTTATTTTAAATTTCTCCGAGCAATTAGCAACCACGTAATTTTGCTGCGTTTTGGCTTGATTATATATTGGAATATTGGTGAAAATTATAGGCTGAGTTATCTTTGTTAGTGTTGAAAGTTAACTTCTGAACCGACTTAATACTTCGCTTTTGCAGAATCGTGATGCTCAATCATTGCTTCCTCTGACGGTCAAGCAGATAAATGATGCTTTTCAGTCAAGTGATGATAAGTCTAATATGATTATCGACGGCGTGGATGTGAATAATGTGAGTTTTTTTTGAATTGCACTGGCTGTGGTCTTCTTTTCTCTTGTTCTGATAGTTTGAGTTAAAATCGTATCTAGGTCACTCTTGTAGGAAGGGTGTGCAACAAAGCTGGAAGGATTACTGATGTTACATTTGTACTAGATGATGGGACTGGAAGAATTGAGTGCAGTAAATGGTGAATTCCTTCTTCTTTTTTATTTGTTGGTGTTTTGCCTTTTCTTTTTTTTTTTTGAGTTTACTTTTTCTGGTCTTTTACATGTTCACAGTGACAGGTAATTTTGCATCTGCAGGCTCCAGGAAGATGTAGACGCCAATGAAGCGGAGGGTCTCAGGTAATTTTGCTGCTTATGTCTAGTGCTGTATTCCCTTGGTGATCTATTTTTTAATGATTTCTTAGTTTCATAACCTTTTTAATTTCTTTCATTAGTCTTCTCTTTAAACAAAAACTTTTCTCGGTTATGTGATCATTGCGATCAAACTTTCTAGCGTTGTAACTTGACACAAAGAATATGGATTTATGAGTTGGTAATTTTCTTGCTAATCAGAATTTCAGAACATTACGTGTCCAAACATTATTTGCCATTCTGCAGTGAGATGGTTTATAAAGTTAATGTTTCTAGTAGCCAACTCTTTTTGAACGTATCGTTTATTTCGTTCCATGAAATATAGTAACTCCTTTTCTTTTTTTGGTTTCAGGGATGGAATGTATGTGCGCTTACATGGACACTTGAAAGGTTTTCAGGGAAAAAGGACCTTAAACGTATTCTCTTTTAGGTGTGTCATTAATATCAAGTCTAGTTATTCAAGTTTAGCAGTTCAATATTTTTTTATTTTCTTCTATATGTATTACCGTCAGAGTGCCAGCCTATAAGTGAAGATGGTTGGGTTTTGAGAAATGCATACAATAGGAACCTTGCTAAATTCTGCTAGAATAACACAAAGAACACTGCAAGACACCTATATTTGATATTGAAGCAGAAGTACTCCTTGGACAGGTTACAGAAACCAATTCACTGTCTCACACAGACACATGCCAGTGCCAACAAGATTCAGTAAAACGCAACTGACCAAGCACACACTTCAGTTACACACCTCCAGACCAATCACAAATGCAAACCAGAAACTAAAATAGGAGCTGGCAAGATTCCTTCATTCAGCACGAGAAATTAGTAACATAGCAGAACAATCTCCACTATTAAGAGCAGACAGAACAAGAGAAGAAATTAATACACAAGACCAGTGCTAGCATTCGAAAGTCTAGCTCACTACCTAACTTTTATCTTAAAGGTTCTCTTCCCCGTTTTCCCATGTCAGGTTTCCTTCTTAAATAGTGTCTTCCAGCCGCTTCCTCAACCACCCTCTGACCCTTCATGCATTAGACTCTTGTACAATTGGCCAGTTTATTGGTTTCAGCTCTAGTTCCCTATTTCTACCCTTTTTTCTTTTTGGAACAATTCTTTACAGCAGTAATAAATTGGGTAGGATGAATAGTCCAATCAATACACCTTGTTTATGTCACTTTGCCCTCTGCTTGAAGTCTACAAAATTATGTGACTTGGATGACTAGTCCTATTATTATAAGCGTAAGTGGGCTAATGATCATGTCATCAAGTAAACGATGAGATCAAGCTGTTATTTTGTTAATAGTTTAATCTTCATTCGAATCACTTCCCCAGATTTCTCTATGCATTCTTTTTCCCCCCCGGTTCATTCGAAATTCCAGTTATTGACATTTGTTTGATATGGAAAGGTTTATTTGAATGAATTTCCTGGGTTATCATTGATTCTCCATGAATACTTTTATAATGGGTTGATTGCTAGTTTTTTCACATTAGCAAAGTCCTATCGTATTTGCTTGTATTTGTTTGTTCCATATTTGTCACTTTTGAAATCTGCTCTGGTGTTGTTTCCAGGCCTTTGAGCGACTTTAACGAGATTGCAAGTCACTTCATCGATTGTATATACGTCCATCTCTATAATACCAGGATACGGGTAATAGTTTAGAATATTGCAAATTATATCTGGGTTTGACATGACATAAATGTGCATATATGATTCTTGCAAGATTGTGCTGTCCGCTATTTTTATTTTTAAATTATCTTATCGTACACCATAAAATTGACAGAATAGTGTGCCGAATCAGCAATCTATGAACAATTCCTTACCTATTAATCCCACAAGAGGTTATCAAGCTGCCCCTTCAACTCAAGTGAGAGGACTATTTATAAATGATAAGTTTATTTTTGACCACTTTATTAATATCTTATTTGGTGTAATCTTTTTTTTTTTTGTCCTTCCTAGTTCTCTGGTCAGCACAACAATGGTCAGAAGAGTGTTGAAGATATGGTCTTGGATATCTTGCATCTTCCCTCGAACAGGTAATTCTAGAATGTGATTTGTGTATGTTTAGTAGTTAATCTTATGGAACATGTGGCCAACTCTGGTGCCTCCTGGGTGGATGGATTTATCCTTGATTTTGTTTCTTATTATGGTAAAAAAGAAAAGAAAAAAAAGAGAGAGAACAAAAAGACTAATCTCTAGATTGTAGGCTTTTCCGTGTGACTGCTTAAAAATAATTTAAATCTTCCTTTCGAATCAAACAAAAGAAAAATGACAATGGCATATAATATCAACTCATGAGAATTACATCGGGTTAGACAAGAATTAGAAGTAAGCTGTGAGGCAATACATTTTATCATATATTGCAAGTTTGATCTGCATAAGCTTTGCTCAAAATTGAAGTGTGCCCTCCAGTGCTTCCTATGGTGCATACGGTTGTGACATTTTATGGTTTTCAAAATTTCCTTATCATTATATTCTGTGTTATTATCCTATTATGCACATATAGTTTTTGTTAAAATTTTCACTTGCAAAACTTGGTCCATTACTCAACTTTATCTTTCTGTTGCTTCAGGGCAAAAGAGGAGGGTGTCTCTCGGGATCTTATTGCACAGCATCTTGGACTTCCTTTGGATAAGCTCATGTCTGTCTACTTATCCTCCCTCCTTCCCCTTCTCATGTTGCTTAGCAGGACTATGTTGACGCAGGTTCTGGTTTTGCAGGTTATCCATAAAAAATCTTATTGAGGAAGGCGCCATATATGAAGCTATAGCTGATCATTACAAGTCAATCATCAATGGTTGACATCTTGTCAACGACTTTGATCCTTATCTGAGCCGGTCTGGTAATGATTATCCATTGGATAGTTGACTCTGCTTAACCCCGTATCATCGGAGCAGCTGCGTTAAATACGGAGAGAAGCTAAACCTTCTTAGTACCAGACCTTGATGTTACTGTTTCTAGTGTTCTTTTTACTCGCTAACTAATGATGGTATGAGTTAGTACAGATTAAATGATATGTAATTAACCTGCCTTGTAAAGGGGTTTGTCATGAATGATAGGACCTTTGTTGAGGGGCTTTTGTTTGGGGGACCGGTAGTTATCTTGCAACTATATTATGTAGTGAGAAGCCGAAGTACTTTTTGAGCCTATAGAAGCTGAATGGATTGCTAGAGGAATTCTGAAAGAACGTTATTGGTAAAATCCATTTGCAGGCATCGATTCGGGTTATGTTAAAATTGAATCCTACGCATAGCGCTGAGATGCCTTGCTATTTCATACAACTCACGAATAAGATTAGTTTTTGGTTGTTCCTATGTGTTACGAGATTTTTGGCAAAAATATGATATAAAATGCTTGATTCTTTAATAATATTGACAAGTTTGTTTTGCATGGATTGAGATAGGAAGAAATTTAGCGCCACCGTTAGACAACCAAGGGGACGTTACGAGTAATAAATATAGATTTGTGATGTGGCGATAAATTAATGTTTCCAACCTTTTAGAACTCCCAATATCTCTGCACATCAATTCAATTACCTTTTAAAAAGAAAAAAACATTGGACGTTTTTGCCGATTTCAGCTATCAATTGCCCCGTGCAACCTTGTCCACCATGACAACAAAACGTTGAAATTGTGGGCTTAGAATGCCATATTGGATTCATTTAATGGGCGCTAGTACTGGGGCCTAATAGGAATTCTAGCCCACATTACAATCTGCTATGAATAAATCACATAACAACCGGTTAAGAAAAGGACGACCCATTCTGTCCAAACAGTTGAAGCTGAAACCCTTTCCATTGAGTAGAAATGATTCCCCCAAATCTTACTTTTCTTTTTAATGACGAGAGCTAAAATTACCTGAAAATTTTTAGAGTATTGAGAAGGTATATTCTTGATTGCGTTTGGAAACGGAGACAATTTAAGGTTTAATACAATTGGATCATTTTCTTAGAATACTATAATTAGATGATCAATAAGCAGCAATAATTCCCTTCAATAGTGGGCGATCTCCACTTGCATATTGCTTGAGTACAAACTCAGACATCTTGTCAAATAATTTGCCAAATCTATGAGAGTCCCTTTTGGGGTCATGTCAGATTATTTTTCTTTCCCCGATTTATGAATCAATCATCTTAATCAACCACAAAATTGAGTACGGTTCAGAAAATGACAAGAATTTATATCCAAAAAAAAAAAAAATTGATCCTAGTTTATAATTATAAGATTGTATGCAATATGAGGAATTTCAAAAGGCCAAGGCAAGTAGTCAGATGGTGCGCATCAATAAAGAATAATAAGGCTGACCAGAATGTCTTCTTCTTATTTTTTTTGTCCTCCCCATTTTCCATTAATAGAATGTACAGTGGCAGTATAAAATCTGCACCCAAAAATCTCTCAGCACATTTTCTTGTGGTGAAATTCCACACACAACCTGATCCTAAGTCCAATCCCACAGTAGTGGAGAATTAAAAAAAAAAAAAGAACACGTGTGTGTGTGTTGTGTGTGTGAGAGGGAGACTTTTGTGGGTCAAGTTGATATTTTGATGGGGACTGTACTAAATAAATATCAATCGGCTTTTGTAAATTTGGTGGTCGGCAAGTTGAAGTGACATGTGGCTTTTGAATGTCATCAAACTCCATTCGATGCAGGAATTAGCAATTTGAATATATATTGGCGTCAAGTTGGAGACCATTATATTTTTTTATAATTTAAATTTGGCGACAGTTGGAAGCTACCGAAAATTAATGAACATCTTTTCTCTTTAATTAAGTGATAAAACCCTCGATGGTGATGTAGTACGGAAAATAGTTAAATTAAACTATATATTGCTGAAAGTATTCTGATCACCTCAACAGCAGACAATTCACTAACTATAGAATATGAGATAAATAGTTTTGGTTTACGTAAATATGTCCATGCGTACTTAACATAAACCAGGTCCAAATAAACACAAGCCTTTTTAACTCTACAAAAATTTAAACAAAAGCAAAGAGCAAAGGGAAAATCTAAAAAAAAAATATTATTGAATTTCAAAATTCTTAGAATGTTGTCATTTGCTTTTTAAATATAGTCATTTTCTTTGTGAGTGTAGTAACCAATACTGATTTGGAATTTTGAAATTCAACCATCATTTTTTTGGGATTTTCCCAAGATAAAATGTATAAGTTGGGGAAAGTGGTTTCTATGCAAAGGTGATGAGTATCCAAAAAAGAGAATTTCAGTTTTTTTTATTTTTTTTAAAAATGTTTTAATGTGTACAAAATATAAAACAAAAAAGTCAATATTTCAAAAAAATAATTTTTTATTTAAAAATTATTAGTTAAAAATTTTAAATTTGAATCATATTTAAACAATGCAGATCTCAAAGAATACTGAGTATTTCACTATAACAGACACCAAAGCTAGCTCAAGTTAGGTAGGTTACTAGTCTAACCAACCATCTCCTATAGTGCATGCAAAAGATCATCCCAAGTAGGAAGATAACGGACTAACTGACCGCTGAAGACTTATAGGTTAGGCCTCTACTCAATGGGTTTACTTGCGTGGTCCATCTATCGCAGTCCACACAAAATCACAGTGGCCAGTGTGTTATGGACTAATTAACTAGTATGCTTAACCTTCAAACCCATTAATGCAAATCCACAATTTACAAAATCTTCTAACATTCCCCCAATTAGATTGCATTAATTAAGCAAATTCAATCTTCAAGCCTCTTAAAAGTGATATCAGACACAAAGATAATAATGTTAGAACAAACCATATAAAAAAATATATTTATCCAGAAAATTCTATAATCATCAAAGTAGTGACAAAAAACTTATAAATACCTCTTGTTGTGATAGATGATCTGAAGGAGCAATCTAGAATACTCTCGATCTACCTAGATTCGAATAACTAAAAACATAAAAGCCTGTTAGCAAAAAAAGATGGCAAAATTTTTTTTCTGACTGGGAGGTAGGCACAATGATAGAATTAAAAGGAACCGTCACCAATTAGGGAACCTTAAGAGCCATATATTAGGTTTTCTTAAATGGTCACTTAGTGGACCGTAAAAAACATAATCTATCATCAATGTTATAAAATGACTAAAAAAGATTGAGTCTAAAACCCTACCCAAACTATGTCTAATTGACTAATGGGTTACACTAAGGATATTTTAATTAAAATAAAATATAAAATAATATATATAATTAAAATAGCTTACATTCTCTCACTTGGCCTGTACATTATATGTCAGTTGACATATCAAGGTTAATTAAGGCTATGCTAGTACAATTATGACGGTAAGTCCTCCTAAGTCGAGTGTTACCTTTTATGGATTATAAGTAACATTCTTAGTTAATGGGTTATAACTTTATGAATAAATCTTAAATGTTTATTTGATTCCAACTTGAATGTTTGCTAATCTCACCTAATTCAGGTACTAAACTGGAGACAACAAACCATAATTTGAATTTCATCACTTGAGAATGCCTTGTTTAGATCACCAAAATGTGATCTATCTCTGATAAGATATTGATAATTTAATCTTTCTAATAGCATGCTTCTTTACTCAAAAGATCTATGATTTATGTGATTTATGACAAATTAACTCCATAGTCATAGAACACCTTTAATGGGTTTGAAAGTAATTCAATAACTTAAAACCCTATGATGAATGGTTAAAAAGAGACATTCCATGGTGGAAATGAACAATCAATAACTATTTAGCAATCATGCACTCTTTCACGATACACTTGTTTAGTAAGCATGAATGTGTCTCATAATGTTAACAATTTGTTGCTAACTTATCTAGCTAAACTAAACAAACTCAATCATTCAAGCAATGTACTACACAATTTACAACTTTTTAGTTATCATTTAAGCATTAATTTTCTTGAAAATCCTCCTACAATAAAGTACAATGGCATTGCCCATTATGTGCACATTCAAATAAGACCATGCTTTAACAATTAAATTAGAAGGAATATTGATTATCTTCTTTACGTGATGATCATATTAGAGACACATGGACAATTTGATAATATCCTTATATCAAGTGTGTTATACATGATAAATGTCATCTATTCATAAATGTTCAAGTTTTTGTGATTATGTGTTACTCATGATAATCTTAATTACCTTGAGAATACTCTATTTATGTATTCTAAAAAAAAAACTCCTTTTATGCCAATTATATCACAGCTTTTGAGCAATGACTTTCTTGTCATTTATAATATTTTGAGTCATTAAACATCAGCAATGTCTAGGGATCACCCACATGCAAATTATAGATGACCCAACTCCCACTAATCAAGTAATACAAATAAGATCATGATATTCTCAACTTGATATTAATGTGAGACTTGCTCATGGACTAAATTCTTCCTACATCAGCTATTTGACTTCTTTTACTAATTTATATATCTCTCTCCTTATATCAAAATCAAAATATTCTAATAATATTTCAACTCAATATAGACATTAGCATCATAAAAATATGGAAAGTACTATTCAATAATATAGGAGATATTACCTCCCTATAATGAGTTCCCTCATAGCAAACAATCTTCTTTTTACTTTATGTTGCACACTAACAATTTTACAAATATTCAAATATTATTGTTTGTCTTGATGAAAAAATGTCTTTACTTAAAATTTATTTCACTTCTTGAAATATGGAACTTAGGTCATACTCAATACTAAATGACACTATCATCAAGCCTCTCAAAAGTGATATTAGACACAAATATAATAATGTTTCATAATCTCAATAAAACAGAATGCATAGCTTTATTCTAAACTCAGTTCATTGTAAGAAAACAATACAGGATCACTGATTCCTACGAGGAAACAAAAGGCGTATCGTAGCAAAATCATAGAATCCTCTGGGAGATACAAACGATATAAACGAGTCAAACTGACTTAATAACTAAACTTGCAGATAATGCAAAGGCAAATAATGAATTATACCAAACAGTTCTCAAATTCCCACTAAAACAGAGCGTCAAAGGAATTCGCAAGGCCCATATAAGCTATTCCCTCTGGTTTTATCATAAGACTCACTTTATAGTACAAATTACAGTATCAAACGGATCTTATATTAAGAACAGGAGGAGTACATGATTTCAAAAACTTCTTTGTGTTGGCCCTTGGTCAGTGGATCTACAAGAAGTTGTGCACTGGGAATGTGAATTATGTGAG